GAAATTCATTCTCAAATTTAAAGTAAAGTGCACATTGGACCGTAATATTCTTTATCGGTTGCTCTTGTATACTTGGCTAGAGCCTTTTCATGTATGTATGAGTTGATAGTCTGGTGGTGTTGTCAAGTATATTTGCACCAGCAGTATCCCACTACACACTGATAATAGCTAATAACGTGTGCAACTGTGCATAGGGTTCTAATCAGAGTAGTAGCAGTAACCTGATTCCATTACCCGTGGGATGATTTTGCATTGGGCTCAATGTTTGTCAGCTATTGTGAATTTGTGGGAAACTTAAATTGACATGATTTCATGATGCCATTTTCATTTTTTTAAAAGTTCAAAATTTTGTTGTTAAATTGATCATTCTGGACTAATTAAGTCTATTGCTTTCAACCTCTAGAGTGCTTGTCCAGGTGAGGAAAAACATCTCAAGGACTGTTTGGATGCTTATAGTCCAAACAGTGCAAGGGTGAGTTTAGTGATGCCTGAGTTGTGGATACGACTATGGTGGAAGAAGGTGAGGTTGGCCAGGGTACAGGGATGAACAAATACGATAGCATTAACATCACGTCGAACATGTTTGTGACATAGTTTTATAAAACTTGGATGCAGCAGTTAGCAAGCTGCGCTCTGATCAATTTCGTCTTTATCAAGTGCATTTCAATGCTATGCTTGTCTCCTTGGATGACTATAATATTTTGTTTTTGTACTTTCATGTTGATCATTTTGCTCTCAAATTCACAAACACAAATATGTGCTCTGTTCAAAACGAGCATCGACTTAAATGAATTCTGTTATTTTATGGCAGCAATGAATTGTGTTTGGTTGGGTTGATTCTTCCCATTTATCATGCATACATAAGTTTTATCCCGTTGCAACGTATGGGCACTCACCTAGTCATTATATAAAGTTATAAACACATCAGCTTCCTTCAAGTTAAGTATATAGAAGCAAAAGAGGCAACCTTCTATGTTGGATTGTTGGTAGATGGCAGGTACAAATGGAAGGCATGTTTGTAGGCCAAGTTAAAAGCCTGGGCATGATAGGCTTTCAGATCTGCAAAATTGAACGGCTACAGCTGCAGTACTTGAGAAGAAAACTATATGTTTGCATAAATGTGGTGCTTAGACCTCCACCATCCTACCTCCAATCAATCGGTCCGGAAAGAGCCGGAACCCACGACAAGATAGCAACGAGCCTTCCCTGCTCCCATAAATAAGCATGTGCTCAGAATAATAAGTCTGTGACTTGACTAGAACCCAATGCAACGGTCGGTCCTTAACCGTCACGGACAAAAAAAACAGTGTAACCAAGTTATGCCCCGTTGGCCGCGGGATACAACCTCTTACACCCACCAATACCCATACCATATCCCTACCCGGTCTCCATTTTCCTTTGACCATTTTATTATAAGAGTGATAATAATAATCGCCTATTGTGAGTAACGGCAGGTTACTCACGCTACCGAAAATCCTAAGCATAGCAGCTACTCGCACCTGTACTAGTAGGACTCATAGGACATAGTATTTATGCAAGTGGTTTCTATAAAATGCCAGTAACGTAAGTGCATATCACACACACACACATATATATATATATATATGAACTAAATACACTAACAGATAGAGCACAATTTTAGGAACCTAACAAAATTAGTTTTATAATTTTTGGACATCTACAGAATTTGCTATAATTTTCTAAAGATCAGCTCAAAACTAAATTAGAAAACATTTGCTAATTTGCTGGAAAAAGAAAAACCAATTCTCGCGCGGCCCATCCGCGCGCAGCGCACGCGCACGCGCGGCCCGCAAGCGCGACCCACGCGAAGCAGGCCCACGGTGGGAGAGTCTCGCGCGCGTCGGTGTTTTTGCAAAAGAGACCTTGCATTTCCCCCAATTCGCAACCAAGGACCAACACTATTTTACTTACTCACACACCCTCTCACTTAACCCCCCAGCCTTTCTCTAATTTACTCGTGCGCACTCTGGCGGCTTAGTGCGTGGCGGCGCGGCGACCGGTGGCCTAGCACGGCTGCGCCCGCCACCTGGGGCTGCCACTGGCCCAACGGTCGGACCAGCCTTCATCCCCAGTTCAACCAGCTACACCTAGCGGCAGCGTGGGGCGGCGAGACTCGATGGAGCCGGCCACGACGATACGCGGTTGTCCACGACGGTGGCGCGACCGCCCCGACGAACTCAAGCATCAACGAACCCAGCTAGCTAGCGAGTGAGCATTAATAGGCTACCGTGAGCCTAGTTGTGGTGACCGTTGGCGAAGAGAGTGGCGGAGAGGAGTTGGCCACGTGCAGCCGAGCCGTGCGGCACCGTACCACGATGGCACGGTCGCATCAGCGGGGTTGGAGCTGGTAACAACTAAGCCGAGGCACACATGATGAAGAGGAAGGCAAGGCACATCTACTGGCGTGGGCAATTGGGTTCGAGTAGAGGGATGGGAGGTCTGCCCTCGGTCATGGTCGCAGTGCGGCCTTAATGGCGCACCGGCGGGAAGACGCCAAATTGGCGCCTGGCCAAGCCGTCATCAAGGCGGTGAGGGGTCGGACGATGAGGAGATGTGAGGGCGGAGGTGCGGACGAGCCGAATTGAATAGAGGTGACCTATCTCTGGCACACTCGTGGGCGCAAGGCGACGGCGGCAGCAAAGAAATGGGAGGCAGAGCGAGGACGATGGAATGCGGCCAGGGCTCTGCTGTGACACGCCTTGGCGGGACGCGGTTGATGTAACCGTAGTGACCTAGTCTAGCCACTAGCGAACGAGCACGCGCGTGTTCACGCCGGCCTAGCCCGCGCACCGCAGCGCCATCAATGGCATGACGACGGCGGTTGCAACCACGTGCACGGAATCAAACGGGGCCAGGGCGCAGAGCATTGCAGCGCAGACACGAGCGCGGGGCTGTGACGACAATGGCAGTAGGCGTGTCGCGATGCACGGTGGACCTGGCAGCACGGCAGCGCGCAGGGCGGGCGGTAGCACGGCACGGCCGCGTGGCAGCAGCGGCGGCCTCACATGGCAGCGCCCAAGACTATTCCCACGGCACACAGCCAGCCCAGCGCGGCAACACGCGGGTGCGCGCGATGCGCACCGACGCGGCGACGTAGACCACTGACGTGCGGTGACCGCGTCCACCCGGGGAAAGCAAACCGAAAATGTGCTGTGCACAGATTTTAAAGCTTCTACCACGACTAAACCATTACTCCTAAACATAAACGGTCTTCATTACACTCAAGATAGTATGTGAGGCTACTTAATCAAGCTATAACACTACATCGCTCTTTAACCCAATTCCTCAAAATAGTTTGCTAAACATAACAATGTCTAATTGTCAACAGACTTGAAAATTTTTCTAAGTTTTGAGTTGAACTCTATTTCATATTGCATTTCTAAGCTATTGGAAACATTAGCTAATAAGGTTATTTTTCAACGGCAAGTATTTTATCATCTTCTACAAAGTTCACACTCCAAACCTTATTTAAGCCCCATATATAAGTTCTATAGTAATTTTACTCAACAAAAATTGCTTTACAACCATACTTGATAATTGTATGAATCGTGGAGTAACTTTTCGTTTTGCATTCTTATTAATCGATTTAGTTGAAATGCTTCACCTATTCGTTTCGTCACATGCATTACCCCATAAGTATGATGCTCATGACGTGTTTTAGTAAATGATTTACAGTGTAACACCGAGGGTGCTACAATAAACCTCTAAACAATTTTTTTGATGCCGAAGATACCTTAATAATCGTATTTGATCTAAGTGCACACAATTCAAAGTTTGACTCGGGTTATATGACTGGCAATGTAGAGTAACTATAACAGAATATTTAGGAATATAAATTGAGTGACAAATAGAGTGTCTCTATTTATGGATATTGATCCCACCACTTCTCTGTTAAATCCCCATCATTCAAGACATATTAGCTCTATTGCAGCTCACATGTATATTTCCTAGCCTAGTATAAAAAAGCTAAGTGACTAATATATATTTTTACTTTCCAAAGTACCCTTACACTCTCTATGTCCTGTGTGTGATTTGGATTCATGACCCGTGTTTATATAAAGGCAAAATTTGCCTTTGACACGGAAAGTGTCCTCCTTTTGCTGGTGGACACCGAAAATAGAGCGATTTGCTGGTAGATAGTTTTGTCGTTGCTAAAATTTTTTAAGGGCACCAAACATATTAAAATATTCATTTCTGGCTCAGAGGCTAGAGAACAGTGATGAAATACCCTTTTTACCCCTGCCTCTTTCTTCTTCATCTGTCCCTGTTCTTCTCCCACGCGGCTTGCCGACGCCGGTCGGACCTGCGCTCGGCGCGGCGAGGCCAGACGAGGGCAGTGTACGCGGGAGGATGAGGTGAGGTCGGGCGACGAGACTCGACGCGGCATGTGGGCGACTGCTCGTGGTGCGCCACGACGCAGAGGACTGGGCGTGCGCAGCGATGGGCCGATGAGTGCCACTGTGCCAAGGAGCGAGCGGGAGAGCGCATTTCGCGAGCCGCGCGCGCGGCGGCGGCGCAGTGCTTGCGGCCCCGACGGCGCTGACGGCTGACCATAGCGCACGGGAGGGCAACCGGTGGAAAATCGACATGCGGTGGAAGAAACGGGCGTGCAAGCTCGCGGTGCAAGGATTCCCGAGTCGTAGCGCAAATAGCGATTAGAATCGGAGATAATCATAGCGTTTGGGTGGGATTCTCACTTATTTCCATCGAGAATCTGATTTTAAGCGTATCAAAACAGGCTATTGGGTGTTTCAAACGATGGATTCTACTCCATCGAAACAAAGGCCATTGCCGGGCCGGGCCGAACCTTCGGAAGTCAAGGGAATAGGTCTTGGGTTGGGCTTATTGGACAAGTACACGGCGAGATAGTGGGCCACATCACAAAACCTGCCCCACGGTTGATATATTCCGAGAGATCATCACATCACAAGCCCAACCAGACCAGATGCCCCTTCGGCGGCGGCGGCGGCGGCCTATCCATGGCGGACGGTATCGTTAGCGCCGAGCATGGAGGGTCCATCTGGGGCTCCGGCTCCTCCACGCACGTGGTGGAGTCATATGAGGAGGAGGAGGAGGAGTGGGCAGGCTTGGAACCCTTCTTCTTCGACGTGGCGGAGGCGGTGGCGGACCATGAGAGGCGGATGCAGATTGAGCAGGAGGAGGCGCGCCTGGAGGATCTGCGCAAACAGAGGAAGCAGCCTCTGATCGGATCCGTGATTACGATCCCAAGCAGGGCGGCCACTACATGACCCGCTACTTCTTCTACGACTTCAACGAATTCGACATCGACGAGGAGTGTAAGCCTATCCACCTCTCAATTCCCTTGTAATTTTGCTTTTGTATAAGCCGCCCAGGCAAAACCTGTCACAATTCAAGTAATATAAATCCAGGTGGGGATCAATCCCCACGTCAAAAGCTTAAAAAAAATCTCTTGTAATTTTGTCCTTTGCCTCCCGCGTCCATGAGGAACTATTAATTCATGCATCTCATCTCGGTAATAGTTTCAGTCGCTTGAATTTAGAGAGGAGTTTCCCTATATTAAGGCCCAGTTTGGTTGCTGAAATTTTTGGCAAAATGACATGGTAGCGTTTTCGTTGTTATTTGGCAACTAGTGTCCAATCATAGTCTAATTATGCATAAAAGATTCGTCTCGTGGATTTCGTCTAAACTGTGTAATTAGTTTTATTTTTTATTTATATTTAATGCTTCATGCATGCGTCCAAAGATTCGATGTGACGGGAAATCTTGAAAAATTTGGCATTTTTTGAGGGAACTAAACAGGGCCTAAGTAACCTTTGTCAGTTACCCTACACAGCATGTGCACTTACACTATAGGGATTCAATTGCAAACAAGCACTTCTTCAGAGTCTGATTTGCTGTCTGCAGGAAACCTTAACTTTTTTTTTCCTGAGCCTGATTTGCATTAAACCTAATTATGTTATTGTTTTTGTTTTCCTGCGCTGCAGCAAGCATTGGACCAATGAGATACACCAACAAGATCTACAAACTGGATGATTTTTGTCCTCTGCTTGATGCAGTAAATATTCTCTCCGTGAAGATAGCATCCTTGGATGTTAAATTTCCAATACATGTCTATGGCACTATCATTGCCAGAGATTCCCTTGATCGCAAGTGTGTTTATGTCTTCCGCCGCAGTAGAGATAATTGCCAAGTCATCAACTCTAAGGTACCGATACCATGCCTAGTTTAGTTATCCATCATTCTTAACATAGAGATTCTAGCATGCATTATGTGTTTGGAAAGATAAAAGTCAATACTAGCACGTTTATTGGCATTATAACTGCTAGTTGGATCAATAATCATTCAAAATCTAACAGTTGACACACACCCTTCTAGTTTTGAATCTGTATGGCGCTGAAAGCTGGAGTTTTGCATGTCATCAGTTGATCATCAATTATCAGTTCAGTTATTTATCGTGCCAGGTTGTTGATTTAAAATGCAAATATCTGAATGAAGGATATTCTTCGTTTTAATTCTTGTTTAGACAAAATGGTCATTGTGTGGGTGAATATTTAAATTGTAGTTTCTAGTGGTGGATGCAACTTCCTCTATTGTCTTAAGATAATTTGGCATGCATGGAATGATCACCATATAATAATGGCATATGATTCACGTATAGTATAGTAGTATGGAAAAGAGCGACTCGAAGCTGATTTTGTTGATGAACTATTTATGGGTCTCTTTTTAACATATCTCTTCTTAGAATGGGAAACCTAACCTTGTTTGTCATTTCGGTATCACACAAGTTCTCTCGTATTATTATAATATATATGTGTGTAATGGTAACAGCTTCCTTCTGCTTCGTGGCTAATGTACTTCTGTTGCATTACTTTATATTAAAGGGAAATTATATGTGCCACTAAACTGTACTGTAAACTTTTTTTGTAGACCCAACCGCTGACCTTGGAGGGCCCAAAACGAGGAATCGTATTGTTAGATGATCTATTCATTGAGATCGATCTGAAGATAAAAGATGTTCGACAAAAGGGTGCTCAACGGGGTAGGGACAGAGAACTTAGTAAAGGGTTTGTAACGATCAAGGGCCTTAGTCGTCGGATCCTTGAGAAATCCTTTGTTGAAAGTAAATCTCTTGCTACGAGGCTCAGTACAGTTGAGGTGGGGTGTTCAGTTGTGAAAGACAGCCTTGAGGCTCTTGTTGCTATTGAAGTTTTACGTGGAGAGTTCAGTGGTAAAATCACTGCTTGCACTGTGCACATCCCGCATAGCCTCCTGCTTCATGATAGCAAACTTCGTGGTAAGAAGATTGGCGGCGTTAAAGGAGTTATCCAACTTTTGCAGCCTGTCATAGCTGTCGGTAGGGGAGACATGCTGATAATTGTCATCCAGACTAGCGATGGTGTTTCTAAGCGCACGATCGAGTTTACTCGAAGGATCAGGAGCTCAGAGAAAGATGTTATCACTGTTGGTGTCACTAAGATGCGCGTTAAGGTTTCTTGGTCGGTAATGGACTGGTAAGCAGGTTTCTTGGTCGGTAATGGACTGGTAAGCGTGAGCTTAATTATGGATTGCCGTATATTGTTAAGCTCATAATACTATATGCGTGCTATATATTTGCCGTGCCAACTGCCAACTGTCTGGCCCAGATAAGAAGTAACAGTGTCTGTAACTACTGTTTATATAATGGGTCGTTATGCTGAACTATTGTTTATATAATGGGTCGTTATGTTGAACTGATGTCTATCGTGTTAGGCTTATATTATTGTTATATGTAGTACTCATGATAAGTAGTAATCATGATGACCACATATGCACTTGTGCTTAAGTTGCTAATCTATACTATAATACTGGGAATTGTTTGGTGTTGAATGTCATGCTTTTTTTTTGTTTTATTTATGCCTGCATTCCGAGACCACAGAATATGCTGCGTTTCAACAGAAACTATGGCCGTCAAGAAGATTTCTCTCTATCGGTACTGCTAAAACGACGAAAGAGGCATCGTTCACAATAGATTCAGCGTGCCTCTGTGACGCCTTCTGCTGTAATAAAAGAGGCTGAGTAATGTGGTTTTCTGGTAACAGTTATAAGTTTCAACTCTTAGTCCTAATAACAGCATAAACTTCCTAATGACATGTGAAGTTCTAACAAAGTGCATTGATATTTCTAAAAAATTTGATTTGAAGCACGAAATTAGTTCTGCTCTAAAGCTAGGGACCTTTTCTTGACTGTTCCCATCTGCTTTACACAAGAACGGTGTTGGCCTTGCTGCACGGTGTTGGCCTTGCTGCTTTGTAGTAGAAAAACACCATCATCCTCGACCATGCCTCCGCCCACCGGACAACTAGCACCAGAGATTTATGGTCAGACAACTCCACGACACAGTTGGTCGAATGCAAGTCAAATCAGTGGGGTGTTTCTCAAAGATGAGTCGTACAACCAACCTTTCTCACGGTGTATTATCCTTCCTCCGTTGGTGAAGAGAATGTCAGGGAAACCAGAAACTTTCAGCGCGTCCACAAGGTCAGGCTCGGCACAGGCATCTACAGCCACACACTGCAGAAGACATGCATAGTCAGAACTTGAAATGCTCTTTGAACCATCAGTTACCAAGGGAATTACTGAAAGAATGTTGCAATGAGTTCTATACTGAAACAAACCAGGATTTCCAAAATAGAAATTCCGACTCTTTTACCCCCTCTGTGATAGTCCCAGGATATCTCGGCTATCACGGGCATCCATTTTTCAGCTGATTACGAAGTCATACAACGACAAAGTACAAAAGTATGCCTAATACATTAAACTAGATACAAGCCCTCTAGGCTAAACCAAACGAAACACCGATAGACTAGTCATAGCAGCGAAGCTTGGCGAATCTCCAATCCACGGGCATCCTTGAGAGTAGATCGCAATCCAACTACTAATCTCAACATCACTGCAAGTCAAGAAATCTACACACACCAGATGTGTGCAGGCCATGGTCAGCACCAATGAGGTTTAGTGGAAAAATAGAAAATAAAGGGATATGACGATCTTAATGGTTTGGTTGTGGTTTACATCCTTAACACCTGCAGAATAGCATCAAATATAATAATATAAGTGTCTCATCCCAACCAACCACCCATCCATCCCATCCCATATTCAACACAGTCACATCACACTCTCACATCTCACCACCACGCTTTCTAGGCGACAAGGACAACTCCTTCTCGTCCTTGCCTCAATGGCGACAGGCCGAATCCTTATCCAAACCCAGGGGAGAGAGAAAGAAATATCTCACTAATCAAGGAAAGCGTAGAACATAGGAATGTCCATGACCGTGGACACGACTATACGTATAGATCGATCAACTCTGCAGAGTGTGTACACCTAGAACCACAAGATCGACATCATCGACGCTGATCATCGTCTAGGCTGATATCGGGTGAAAGGACCTAAGATGTCGCCTAGAGGGGGGTGAATAGGCGTTTCTAAAAATTAACACCTTTAAATGCGGAAACAGTTAGTAAAGGGAGTTTCCAAAATGGAAAGTCCAAATAAGAGCAACACCACCCCTCACAAGTTAGCCACAGAGTATGTAAAAGATACTAAATAAATCTAGGAGCCACAATCCTGCATCACAACGATTAGTGCAAGGATCAAATAAATTCAGCACTGAACTCTAATACCGGACGTGTCCGGTATGAACGTGTTCTGCAGAACAGCCTATCACAGTGATCAATACCGGACGTGTCAGGTATACACGATTTCTGCAGACCAGCCCCAAACTTGCTTCTTTCGATTTCTATCTTCAAACCAGTCTGCAGGTACCTACTAGAGATGACAGTAAACACAGATAACCTACACAAGAGCTAGAGCAACACAAATATCGAATGAAATGCGAATTGAGACACGATATTTGTTTTACCGAAGTTCGGACTCGTTCGAGTCCTACTCTCCGTTGAGGGGGCTGTGGGCGACCCGGCGAAGGTCAGCCCTAGAGGTTACCACGAAGGTCACTCTAGCCGGAGTCTTTTCCAACTCCTTTTTCACCTTTCACTAGTTGATTCTGAGGCGGCGGAATCGACCGTTACAAACTTTTCGAGACACACCACAATCTCTCGAGTGCTCTCCGGCGACGCCTAGCCATCTAGGACCGAAGAGCCCAAGAGTAACAAATGCGAATCACGAGATTGACAATATGCACAAGTGCTCAAGTGGTTGGATTGCTCTCTTTTTGAATTTCACTCAACCCATAATTTGATTTGGCAAATTTGATCAATCACTCACTAAGAGAGGGTTGGAAGAGTTGACAAGGCTAAAAAACGTGTATAGCAATCAGCAGAATCAGCAGCCCCCAAAGATAGAGGCTTGGGAGTATTTATAACCCTCCTTGAAAAACTAGCCTTTTATAGCCGTTGCCATACCGGACACGTCCGGTACACATACCGGACACGTCCGGTACACATACCGGACACGTCCGGTATGACTTACACTGCTCCAACGGTAACTAAGTTACAGAGACAATGTGAGGCGTCGGAACTCCCGACCCTCAGCAAATTTGAAAACCATGTAACTGAGTTAAAGTATGTGAGGTGTCGGAACTCCCGACTCATGCCAGAACTTTCGACCGTCGGAACTCCCGACCCTCAAGGTTTTGGAAAACTAGCCGTTGGCCTCTAGTCGTGCATACCGGACACGTCCGGTATAACCAGGACAGTGAACCTTCCAAGTTAGTTAAAATGCGAGACGTCGGAACTCCCGACCCTTGTCGAAACTCCCGACGAACCAACCCGAGAACAACAATTTTACAACTGCTGGGTAAATACAGAACACGTCCGGTATTGCCAGACCAGTAAAAATAAAGTTAGCTCTTTTGTCGCTTAAATACTCAAAACTCACATGGGTTGGCTTGAGCACTTATGAATGATTATCTATCAACATGATGCATCCCTCTTAATAGTACGACATTCCTATTAATTCAAATTCAAATGTATAACGAATTTAAACCTTTTGAGTTGTTCTCTTTCAACCGAAGCCGTGTATTCCAATCTTCATCAAGTGAGGGTGCTAACATGTCAACTTTGATCTTTTTCACTTGAGCATAGTCATCTTGAGCACGTGACTTGATTCCATTCATCAAATTTGAATAATCCCAAATGTATCAAGTCACTTCCATCAAACACTCCAATAGTGATTTGATCCTCCACATAAACATGGCCATCGTAGCTTGATTAGTACCTCAACTAAATGCAAGTGCTTCCTTCTTCACCCTAGCTAGGTTCTTCAGCCGCCAAGCCGTCGCTTGACCTTCACCCTTGCTTAGTACCTCGAAGCCTTTCCTTGCTATCTTCACCATCTCAAGCCATCAAGTCACATCTTGTGTTGAATCATTCATTCATGTATTGTTATCTTTTTCATTTCAATTTAGCAAGCTTCAAATATGGGACCATTCCATATGCAATCCCTTATGTCTCATTAATTAATTCTCACAAGCTTGCTTTCACATAGTACATGGAAATCCCACAATAAACAAGCTTTTGCATGAATTCTATTTGCATTGTTGTCTTGTGCTTGAACTAGATTGTTTATACAACAACACATCATTTTGGCTTTCATTAAGTACCTGAGAGATAACCTATTACCTGTCCACACTTAGCAAACGGGTTAGACCTTTAATCACATTGTCATTCAATCATCCAAAACCCACTAAAGGGCTAGATGCACTTTCATCGGGCTACCTCCTAACCGGTACGATGCCACCCTACCACTCAGCCCTGAGTCACCCTAGAGTCTACCGGAACGCTGAGACTGTGAGACGCAGTATCGGGCCCCCAAGGTCACCACGCTGTCTTAGGGAGGGTGTGGGCCATACACCCGTACCTCCCTACACTATCTACTTACAACCTAGCAGTAGTGGCACCGCCCTAGCTAGTCGACATGTCGTTTCTCGTCCATCAGGAACGAGTGGTGTGCACGAAGGGTCCTATGAGCCGGTTCTCTTGACATACTAGTCCTTAGGGGGACCAGACAAGACATCTTCTCAAATGGGAATATCCAACATCCCGTGCCTGGACAGCACCTCCTTCCCGGGGGCTCACCCAACAAGGCATCCCGGGAACTACTCATCTCACATGTACCCGCCACAGGTACCTCTTATAGAGGATGCTCAGGTCACACCCTCCCGGCAAGACTTGTCCAAAGACTCGTCGTAGATCCTGCCTGGTCGACTCGACCCTCACCACTCACCCAAGACACACACCAGAATCTCCCATCCATGGTATATCCATAGCATCCACTCACATCACATATCAAGAATTATATGTAAGTATGATGGAGTGAATGCAAGCAAGCAGGTAGGCAATATAATAGTACGAGCGCAGAGCTAGATGATTAGGGTGAAGTGGTTTCAATCAAGGAAATCATGGTTCAGGCAATAGCATGCATCACATATACTAGCAAATGAATAAATATAAAGTACTAGCAGTTCTACTTGCAATGTCTAATAGGATTCTCTAAGATAAGGTGCTGCCATGACACCTGCGATGTCAAGGAAGTAGTGGTACACGTCTCCGGAAGTCGTCGTAGCCGATCAGTGGGAGTCTCCTTCTCCATCCGAGGTGTCCTTGGATCCATCCGAGCTCAAGTCGTCGCTACGCAAGAAGATGTCAAGAACGGCCACAAATAAGAACCAATAAAACCGCAACAAAAATAATTCAAAAAGACACAAGAACTGCACTAGGAGGTAGGTTATGATTTTAGAAAAATTACTAAACTGGTTTCATAATTTTTGGAGCTGGGATGAATTTGATATGAATTTAGGAAGGTGGAAAGGATTTTTGAAAAACGGAAAAGGAAAAGGTTCAAGGGCTTGGGCTTGGTACCGCCGGTGGGCTGCACGGCTACCTGGGCCTGGTCCAGGAGGCAGAGGAAGAGATGGGCTTTAGCAGCCATAGCCGATCTGGGCCTGGCGCTGCCATTGCTGTGCCGGAGAAGAGGAGCCGGCCCAGGCTGGTGCCGACCCGCTAGCTGTTATAAGACCAGGTTTCCTGCTGGGCTGGGCTAAGTCGGGGGTAGCTTGGGCCGCTTCATCAAAAAGGAAAGGAAGGGAGAGCAGCGAGCTGCATCGGCAGGTGTTCGACGGGAGGCCTCTGAGCAGCGGTGAGCATCCGCCCGAGTGCGCTCGGCAATGCTGGGCCTCGCCGGTGGCAGCGGCAGTGTGCAGGTTCCTTGACGGGCATGAGAGGACGCGTGCTTGCTCGGTGTGGCTTGGGAACAGCTTGGCTCCTGTGGACTCGTGGACGTGCCACGGCTGCAACCGAGGGCGGATTGGACAAGGCCGGCGAGTGCAGTGCGAGGACACGGTCAAAGCGGGGTTGAAGGAGGTCCGTGAAGGTGCGGCGGTGTACGTGTCCCTGGTGGCCGTCAGTGGCATGCAATTGTTGTGCGGTGGCGTTGAGATGGCCACCGGGAGCTGCGAACGTCGAGGCCGGTGGCAAGGCTGCGGCTTGGCTTGGGTAACCGGAACCGACAGGGAAGGTAGCGGCCATTCGAGGCATCGGTGACGGAGCAGAGCGAGGCGAAGGTCACGGTTGTGCAGAACGGGGCGAAGAGCTCGTCGTGGTTCCTCGGCCGCACGGGCCCGTGCGATGATTGGTGCAGGTGTTCGCGACAGGGTGCGTGCGAGAGCTGGCCGCGGTCGCGGCGAGCGCATGTCGTGCACGAAGGAATGGCGGTGGCGCCCCTGCAGATTCTCTGTGAATGGCCCAAACGGGCTCGACGTGTGTGCTCGTGGAGCCGTGCTCGTGCGTGAGTGCGCCGGCGTGCTTGTGGTGTCCTGTGTACCCCAAGGCATCAGCTTGGGAAGGGAACAGTGCGCCCGGGCGGCGGCAACAAGGTCACGATGGCTGCTGCTGCTCTGTGCGTGTGTACCGCGGGGGCGAGACACCTTTGCGGGCCACGGCGAGGCGCGGGGACAGAGCCGGCGTCGAAGGCCGGGACAGGCAGGCAAAGCATCATCAGATGGAGGAATAAGGCTGGTTCTTGAGGCGCTCACCGGTGGTTTCGCGGAGGGCAAGGCCGTGACGATGTCGTGGCCGCGCGGACTCCCGGCGCGGTCGTGTGCTGCGCAGAACCGCGGAGGGAGGAACGGGCGTGGGCATGCTGCGGCTTGGCGACGCGGCCGTCGTCGCACGGCTTCCCTGTGACAAGCGAGAGGAGCACGGCACGAAGGCCGGTCATAGGCAGGGACGGCAACTAGAAGGAAAAGGCGGATGCTTGGCAAAGAAAAAGGGCTCACTAGCGGTGGAAACTCACCGGAGTTCGTGGCGAAGGAGGCAAGGCAGAGGCCGCTCGACGTGGCATCGGGCGGTGACACGAGTGCCGGGTCGCAGAGCTCGGTGGTGGCGTTGGTTGAGGTGCTCCAGGTCGCGTGGTTTCTCTCCCCCGGCGTCGCGATGGCGGCGACGTCGCGCAGGTCGCGGTTGACGCCGAATTGGGATGGGGCCGCGGCGGTTCACCACCTCGTGGGCTCCCAGCGGCGTCGAGGATGGAGACTCGGCAGCGGCGTTCGCCGAGGTAGCTAGCTACCGTCGTGCCGAGGCGCGGCGAGCTCTGGGGTTCTTCGGTCACTCCATGGCTGCGTCTCTGCTGCGACGAGGTGTGGAGAGAGGTGAGGCAGAGAAGAGAAACAGCGACTGTGGCGGCGGACAGGAGGGAGAGGGCGAGGGCGAGGGCGAGGGCTCGGCCAGGGCTTTTATAGGCCGCGGCTAGGGTTCCAGGGTGGTGCGCCGGCGTCCGTGCCGTTGATGGTGACGGCCGGCGCGACGTGGCGGTCATCCAGGACGTGGGCCGGTAGCCGGTCCGAGAAGCTTCGAGAAGAGCTTGGGTGTGCGGCGCGATTCAGCGTGGTGCGGGGCAGGTAGGGTTCGGGCGCGGGACGTGGCTTGGCGGGCCCCTGATGGCGTGGGCGTCGACGGCCAACGGAGCGACGAAGCTCGGCTTAGGACGGAAAACAGAGGAGCACGGTACGGAGGTAGGAGATGACGGCGGGGCGACGGGGAAAGGAGACGGAGGAAAAACGGAAAGAGATGGGTGCGGCATCGGGCGTGACTGCGGCAGACGGAGGGATCGGCTCCCATCCGATCTCCTAGCTGGCAGGTGGGTCCAGGCTGGCGGCGGCTCTCCTTGGGCCCGTGTGCAGCGCCGCGATGCTGCGTGCTGTTCCTGGGCCGGAAGCGGAGGAAGCTGGGCTAGGCCGGTCAAGGCAGGGGTCAGCAGCTCCCTTTGCGCTGGCTGCTTGCGGTACGTACATGCAGGGATCAAACGTATAGAGCCTTTGCACGGCGGTGTTCGCTGTTGTCTACGGGCTTCGGCTTGTATTCGTGGTAGGCCAGCTTCGGAGAACTGCTGAGGCTAAGGGAGCTGCTGCCTCTAAACGTGCTTCACGTTAGACTGACTCCAACGAAGTTACCCAAACCTAAAAATAGGTCGCGCACAGTGTTTTGGTAGCAAAAACATACTCCAACGGATAACCCAAACCGACGACGCATTTTGCATTCGATCCGTTCCGAAACGCAAAAAAGCGTCTTGACGAAGAGACGACGCAAATCCTCGAGCCGTCCGCTCTCCTGCCTCCGCTCCTCCCTCTCTCTGCCTTTCCTCCATTTCTCTCCCTTCCCCTCTCCCTTCCCTCCCAAAGCGGCGACGCCGTCCCCAGCCCCCGCTCCGCCGCTGCCGCTCCTCGCCTGGTCCTCCCCGGCCCCCTCCCCCGAGCCCACCACCTCGCCCACGGGCTGGGACGCGGTCTGGGCGCTCGAGGACCAGCAGCGCCGTCGCCTCCACCGGATCTGGGAGCGCGGCGTCGCGTGGAAGCCCTCTTCCGCCTCGACCACCGGATCTGGGACGGCCGCCGCTTCCAAGGCCGACGCGCGCGAGCTCAGGCACCGCGCCGTGCGCCGGTTCGCCGAGGTCTACACCGCCGCGGGGGAGGACGACAAGGCTGCCGTCGACGCCGCCGTGAGGCACCTCTACGCGCCGCCATCTAGGAGCTCGTTGATCTCAGCATCCAAAGGTACCACGACTCGCGGATCTGCCCTTGCTCGTTGCTCACTGCTTGCTCAAATCTTTTATTTGATTTTCTCACCGGATCTCGCGCCGAAGCTCGCAGCTCGGTGGCCGGACGCAGGGAAGACGAAGATGGAGGAAACTGGGCTTCTTTTGGGGTCGCTGTTGGAGAAGGGAGGATTTGGGTATGTGACTCTTTGCCTGTACGTGACCCAAATGCTTGGAATAGGTCTCGTGTTTGTGTTTTCCGTTGGAGACAGTCTTACCAAAGAAATGGGCACAACAGCATGCATGCACGTGCAGCCTGCTGGCTGGCTGTGCGGCCAAGAGGGAGGCCACGAGCTGGTCTTGAGGGAGGCATAGGAGCGAGTTTTTGGCCCAAAGGGTCAAGGAGAGGTTTTCTATTTTATACACAAGGATTTTAGGAGAAGGGCTATCTCCAAGTACAACAAGATAAGAACCAAATCACACATGCATCCAACTAATCATGGTGCACATCTTATTTGTAATCTCCATTTGAAGCAGATGAGAGAGAGTTAGGGTTTCCGTTTTAGGAAATAATAAATCATGGTGGTGGTTGCATGTTGAATTCGAGTGCGGCTCAAATTCAACCAAGGTTTTAATTTATCTCCAAAACATTTTATTCGAAAACTCCTCTTGCCATGTTGTTGACTTGGCCAGACAACTTCACGACAAGTGGTTCATTGCAAAAGTTTTGAAGTTTAGATTTTGAAATTGGGGCTAGAAGGGAAACATTTGACTTAGGTTTGACCTATATTTACACGCAACACACATTCAAGCGAAAAATTTAAAAAGCTGGGATTTTTCTAACACACAGAATTACGAGATGTTACATATACCCTTGGCGACGGCAGCTTGTGTTCCCAAAACATCTCAATTGCCTTAGTAAGGTCCTCCTCGCCATCTCATTCTCCTGCGGTCTGCAAAAATGGGCATCATGCTTTATCAAACTAACTTGAATAAATGGGTCCTCGATAAATTCAAGACCTATTCTTTGATAATTGAAATAAGACAATTGTGTAGGTCCCTTGCAATTTAGACAGAAACATACAGGTTCAACATATATCAGATTTAGGTCATGTTTAGCAGGGCTTCTCCAACAGCTTCGAGAGCCATTTGAAGCGTTTTCTGTCAAACGGGGTAAAATGAAATGTCTCCTTTTAAGGTTGAAAACGGACGGAAAAAATCCCGTTCCGACTCGTCCTGTTTTCTAATTTGTTCCGTCCGTTTTCGTATTCGTGGCATCCCGTTTTCGTATTTACGGAAATGGAAGGGTTTTTCCGCCCATTTCCGTGGAATCCTGTTTTCATCCGAAATTGACCCATATTTATTCCGTTTTTCATCCCGTTTTCAATTTATGTGAGATATATCTAGAAATTGATATGTTCATAAACCTACTAATCATCAATTATGCATGTTAACATATTAACACATGGCATGCTAGTGAATATTGGACCGATAACTTCGTACATGTATATTCTTTTGTGACTTTGTTCATATATACTCAAGGATATTTGATCATGTTATTCTAACTTATTTTTCTGGCTCTCCATCCGTATTTGTCTGTTTTCGTATTTCCGTATATCACCATCCGTTTTTTAATTCTGTTTTTTCCAGAACTCAATCCTGTTTTCACTAAAAATATAGAAACAAAAATAGATGAGGAGTTTTTCCGCCTGCTTCCATCCCTAGCTTCTTTGTGAAGCCCCTAAAAACGTGCTGAGACAAAGGATGGACGAGGGATGGAGAAAAAACAGTGGCTTCACCCGGCTTCTTGCCTACGTGAAACCCAAGGAGGAGGAAAGCCTGGATTGCCCCCGTCGAGGCGCTTGGCCGCCCAAGGAGAGGCGCTTGGCCACCGGCGAAGAGGACGCGCAGGGAGAGGCAGGCGATGGTGGCGAGGCAGGGTATCTCACGGCGCAGGTGCCTTTGGTGCGGGAGCTGACTGGGGAAGGGAGTATCTCACGGTGGTTCGGACGCCGCCGGCAGACTCCACAGAGGCAGGACCAATGTACGAGCTCTAGCGACGGAGATATGGTGCTCTCGCTCTGATGCCCTTTGGTGCGGGGGCTGGTCGAGGGAGGGAGTATTGATTCAGCCACCAGGCCGCGAGAGCGCGCGGCCGCCGGGGCGCTCGGTCGCTGGGGACGACGACGACTGGAGAAGGCGAGTCGCAGGCAGGGGAAGAAGAAAATAGGATAGGAAAATAAACAAGGACATTTTGATCTTTTCAGTCATTTTATGGGTTAAAAGTAACTGTTTTGCTAAACGAAGTACCAAAATGGCCCCAACCCCCACCGAAACAGCCGTTCATGGAGCCGAACAACTGGTGAAGTGAATCCCTGCCGCCTTATTTAGCTGCAATGTGGATTGCGGAAGCACTCATCATACACCAATATGGCCTTCTAATCAGAACAGACACATCATGCAGACCTTGAGATAAATTACTTGAGAATCAAGAAGCACTTAGCAAGAGCAAGGAATGAATCATACTCCGTACCTCTTATATCTGTTATGCACAAGCACAATCATCGGCCCAAAAAATCGGTGAACACGGAGGCATCCCAGTCCTGTGTCCTGACATCCCTCATCGCACATCGGCTTGATGTAATTGTCATCCTCCCAAACAATCTGCTTGTCGCTCTGATACCCCGAGTCATCATCCTCCTCCTCGGCATCGTCCTTCTTCTCGGACTTGATGGTGATCTTGTCGAAGAACTGGCCGAGACCCAGCCGCGAGGGCCTGATGGCACCGGCCGCGGGCGCGAAAGCTTTGCGGAGTGGGAAGTCGTGGGCGGCGGCGCGCGGGTGCGGGTCCGGACTCTGGAGGCGCGGTCTCAGGCGAGGCGATGGACGCGCGGGCGGCGGAGAAGTGGGTGGGTAGGATACGGAAAGGAAAGGGAGAAGAAAAAGGAAAAAAAAAAAAACTGATGCGTGGATCCTATATATAAGAGACCGAAGAGAGACGGACGCCCTCGCCTATTTGCTTGGAGCATGGCGAGTTCATCGGGATCCGTCTCCGCGCCCGTGATGGAAGCATATGACGAGGAGGAGTGCGCAGGCTTGGAACCCTTCTTCTACGACGAGGCGGAGGCGGAGGCGGTAGCGGATCATGAGAGGCGGGTGCGGATTGAGCAGGAGGAGGCACGTCGGAGGATCTGCGCAAGCAGCGGATGCAGGCCTATGATCGGATCCGTGATTATGATCCTAAGCAGGGCGGCCACTACTTCACCCGCCTCTGCTTCGCCGACTTCCGCGAATTCGACATCGACGAGGAGTGTAAGCACATCCACCTCTCGGTTCCTTGTGATTTTGTACTCTGGTCGCGACCGCGAATTCGTCCATACTTTGGTCGCGACAGTGAGGCATCTCGGCAGTAGTTTCAGTCGTTCCTCAAAAAAAAAAAAGTAGTTTCAGTGGCTTGAGCTTAGATAGGAGGACACCCTGCATTTGAAATTACACTAGTGCTGTGGGGACTCGGATCAATTGCAAGCAAGCACACATCAAAATCTGACAAATTCATTCATGCATATCAGCAATAGTTTCAGTCTCTTATCACGTACTTATCAGAAATACCTTATGATAACCTCTGTCAGTTACCCTACACAGCATGCCCACTTACACTATAGGGATTCAATTGCAAACAAACAAGCACTTCTTCAGAGTCTGATTTGCGGGGAACCTTAACTCTTGTCTTTGTTTTGTTTTCATGAGCCTGATTTGCAGTAAACCTTAATTCTGTTATATTGTTTTCCTGCGTTGCAGCAACCCTTGGTCCAATGACACATACCAACACGATCTACAAACGGGGTGATTTCTGTCCGCTGCTTCACGCAATAAACATTCTCTCCGTGAAGATAGTATCCTTGGATGTTGATTTCCCAATACATGTCTATGGTACTGTCATCGGCAGAGATTCCCTTGATAGCAAGTGTGTTTATGTCTTCCGCCGTGACAGAGATAATTGCCAAGTCATCAACTCTAAGGTACCATGCCTAGTTTAGTATCCTTCATTCTAACAGTGAAGTTTTAGCATGTATTATGTGTCTGGAATTATATGTGCCACTAAACTGTAATGTAAACTTTTCTGTAGACGCAACCGTTGATCTTGGAGGGCCCAAAACGAGGACTCATGTTGTTAGATGATGTATTCATTGAGATCGATCTGAAGATAAGAGATGTTCAACAGGAGGGTCTTGATCAGGTGACGGACAGAGAACTTAGTAAAGGGTTTGTAAAGATCAGGGGCTGTCGGAGCATTGAGAAATGCCTTGTTGAAAGTAAATCTCTTGCTACCAGGCTCAGTACTGTTGAGGTGAGGTGTTCAGTTGTGAAAGATGGCCTTGAGGCTCTTGTTGCTATTGAAGTTTTACGGGGATCATTCAGTGGAATAATCACTGCTTGCACTTCCAACATCCCGCATAATCTCCTGCTTCATGATAGCAAACTTTGCTGTAAGAAGGCTCATGGCGTTGAAGGAGTTATCCAGCTTTTGCAGCCTGTCATAACTGTCGGTGTGAGAGACATGCTAGTAATTATAATCAAGACTAGTGATGGCACTTCTAAGCACACCATCGAGTTTACTCTAAGGTACAGCACTACAGAAGAAGATGCTATTGCTGTTGGAGCCACTAAGATGCGCATCAAGGTTTCCTGGTCTATACTGCACTGGTAAGCGTGAGCTTTTGGTTGGCGCGTTTGGAGCAGCACAATCACAAGATGAGTATTTGTTAAGCTCATATGTGCTATATGAGCGTGAGGTCCATGTATGGAGTACATGTCATTGCCTCCCTCCGCCACTGCAACTGTCGAAGACATCTAACCCCATGAGCTTGATGGGCCTAAAAGCATGTTTATAGGATTATGGGTTTGTCAGTATTTTTTTTTATTGAGGACGGGCTGGCATATGAGCGTGCCAGGAACTCAAGATCATGTCAAGTCCAATTGACTGTTGAATCCCTCGTTGATGGCGTCGATTCCTCTCTGAGCCACTCTCACGGCCGACAAGACAGAGTACGATCGATAAGTTTGTTCTTGTCGTTTGGAGCAGCACAATCACAAGAATGAGGCTTGTAAAGGATTACTTTGGTGGGAGATTAGCCAAAAGCACAAGGGTGAACTGGACCAGTTTATGTCCATTCTCCAACATTAAAGCTGAGGCTTTGTTGTTAGGATTAGTAGATCCTTGTTAGGTCTTTTAGGAACCCGCGATACACATTATTGTACAAATGTGCATACATGGGTCACACACATTGCATTGCGTATAACCAACCAAAAGTGCTCTAGGCTTAGAAATATGCATGCAGGTTTTCAAAAACGGCAAAGCCCTGTCAAACATTCTTCTTCTTCTTTTCTAGACCTGCAATGTCATAAAATTTGCAAAAGTTGTATAAGCAAGGTTAGTTCATCAAATCTTTGCTACCCTTCGGTGGACGCAAGAGGATTTTGCCATGGCACCTTTACGAGTCATTGACACATGAAAATTTTGCTTGCTACCAGTAATTTTTACAGTAACTGGTAGATAAACATGTCTTTATAATACTGTCTTGAACAATTTACCGGTATACAAAATGATACATGACTTACCAAATGCTAATGGTATGGCACCAAGGTGATCCAACAATAGATCGACCAAAAGAAAACCCCATAATATTTACCACCGACGGACAACCCAAAATATTATCTCACTTCGGTGCCAGAACAGTCATAGTCAGAGTTCTATGGAGACCTTGTTTTCTTTTGCTTTGGATTTGAGCTTGATGATTCCTTAAAAGCAGAAGGGCAAAGGCTATTGATGCCACACTTGTCACATTTGGGCCTCAGTGGAGTACAGATAGTTTGCCCAAATCCAACCTACAAGACATTTTTTCAGTTTTTTTCAGCATAGAATAGACTAGCAGTTCTGAAATCAAGGCAGGATTCAGATAGCATAGAACAATAACCACTATCTTACAATCAAATAATCAAAGAAAAGCATTACTAAAGTACTAAAACAAAAAAAAAAACTTCAGTAGAGAGATACCAGTAATGGATTTATAGGTTCCCACTCATCCTTGGGTAGCCATTTCTCTAGAGAAATTCTTGTCTGTTCTGGTGTCGTAGTTTTCTGTGCACGACACATAGCAACATAAGCACTATTCCCCAGCCTCTGTAATGGGTAGTTGTATTTTTTCTTCCAAGAAGAGAAGACAACATAAATCAAACCTAAGCTACCTGTTTTGTTCCTTCCCGAAAAACCCACCCAAGTCGGTTAGAAATGCGATGCACATGAGTGTCAACGCAGATTCCTTGAGTATTCTTCCAAGCAATGCTCATAACCTGTTTAGTTAAAGAGAGATACCCATGAAGATATTTATGTTCATATTTCAACCACAAAGGACAGAATAGGTAGATTATTACCAAATGAGCCATTTTAGGGCCAACTCCTCTCAGAGCAAGCAGCTCATTCAGAGAATCTGGAATATCCCCTCCAAAACGTTCAAGACAAATTTTAGAAGCTTCTTTTATGAACTGTGCCTTTCTCTGATAGAATCCGACCTGTTAAAATCATGAACAGTATGCTGTGAGTCATCTCTCTGAGAAGTTTCTTGTAATCTCTAGATTCAAATCATCTTGAGCCTAAAGTGATGTTCCATTTCAAATAGTGTTAAGTCTGGTGTGTTTGCAAAGCCTGTAATGGATAACAAAAGCAGACACGTGAATTTTCATTTTCATGCTTCTAAGTTCATTTCTTTTTTGGGTACATACAGTACAGTAATTATTAACTTATGAACGATGTAAGCATAGTATTCATCCTAATAGGGTGAAAACCTTGCAACTTACAGGTTTGATAAGATTCGCAAGCGTGGTCTCATCTGTCCTCACTATAGCATCGGGATCAAGTAAACCGTTTTCAGAGAGGCGTTCCACAGCAGCTGAAAAGAATTGACTCCAAAATGCAATCAGCACATTTCTAAAGGACAACTATTTAGTACAAACACATCAGAGAATCTCATGACAAGGCTAGTTTTTCCTGAATTTCATATGACAGAACAAAAAAGAACTCTTAAATTTCCATAGTAATAATAGATACTTCAGCGGTCTGAGAATTCTCAACAAGAAGGCATAACCAATTCTGGATACAGGAAATTTTAAAGACATACCATGCGTAACTTCATCTTTTGTCTGGCTTGACATCATAGTTGATATCAGAACTGCAAATCTTCTTTCCTGTCCAGGAATAGGAAGAGAAGTATTGATTACAACTGGACCTAAACTCTTTACAAACGGAACCCATATGCACAATTATTTCCAGACAAAAAAAGGCATAAGTATTATAAAGCAGCAAATAAGTGAAAATGTGGAAATTTTGCAATCTATTTGGCACAAAATTAATGTACAGATTGTTTTATCTCTAGACTCTAGACAGGAAAATTATTTCTAGACTCTAGACAGGAAAAACATCATTTTCATATTGTAGTACAGCACAAGGAAATTAGCCAACTAGGTGAGTTGCATAACCCCGAAGCTACCTATGTAAGGCCAACCAAAGAGGTCAACCTTTTTCTCTTTATATTTCCTTTTTGAAGGGCAAAGAGCTCCACTTTGACATTAATATCCAGTAGGAAATAAACTTGGGACAGGTCATACCAACAAGGCCTCTTTTACATAAAATTGTAAAGGTGAAAAGATTATTTTGTGGCAAAAACTACCTTGGGTGGAAGGAGAGAACCAGCCTTTTCACAGCCCTTCGTATCTACGGGGGCTTCACCAGATAACCTCATGCTTTTAATGCCTCCAAGAACTGCCTCCCAGTTATCTGGAGCTCCAACTGCACAAATGACTACTTAAGTTTTCATATCGTACATGGACATAAGAAAGATACCAATCAAATGAAAGAGATGAATGCTTGATACAGCAGTCAACAAACCTGGCCTTAATGCATTTATTTTTCATGGTGCAACAATGAAGAATTTAGGTTGAAAAAATGCACAGATGTTCAGAATAAGGAAGCACTAAGTTTAATATAAGTTTTTAATCAGTGACTATAATTAGACTGTCTTTTTGGCTAACATTAAAATTAGGGGAAATCAAGAACAACGTAATCTAATTCCAAACATAATTAAAAAATATTGAGCTCAAATGATAGTTGTGTATGGAAAACTGAAAATGCGACAACATATCCTGGCCATGTAAGATCCCACTTGTAGTTGTAGCAAGATTGACCACATGCTACAGTGACTTCATCTTAGTAAGTAGTAACCCAATAAAATGTATCTCTTCTAGTAGCCTTCTGATTTATGAGTACCTTTTATAACTGAAGAAACTCTGACCTTCTTCTCCACCTTGACTGAAGAAGGGAAGTGTTAGTTTTTTTGCAAGACATGGCAGAAAATGTAAACAAGATTGTAATATGGCACATAGAGACTTGCAAGCAGATTATCCAGAGGAAAGATACTTGCATACTGATTATGAAACATTTGTCTTAGCAGGAAACTCAAAAAGATTATCTGATTAGCACCAGCGGTTCTTACCCAAAGATGCTGTTGCCTTACTTGACGATGTCAATGTTTTGGCCTTTTCGTATCGAAAATCCTCGATGTCAGGGACAACACCAAACTGCATATGCATAGGACATTTTTCTGTTGAGGAGAGCATGAAACCAAGTACTAAGGTAACATGAGTGAGTAAATGTAGCTAAATACAAAAGGTACACTTGCTGCACCAAAGAGCAAGGGTTCAATAAGCAAATCAAGGGTACAGAACGTAAAAAAAAAGGCGTACCCAGTGCAGAGAGCTCCCGCTCTGTGCGGGGTCTGGGGAAGGGTGTCAGTGGCAAGCCTTACCCTCACCTGTGCAATGCGAGGAGACCACGACTCGAACCCGGGACCTTCCGGTCACAGGCGGTAAGACTCTACCGCTTGCACCAGGCCCGTGAGAAACACATGGAACTCGTTTCTTTTCATACAAAAACATTCTATTTAGTAAGCAGGCACCTGCTTCTTATGATGCTCCCCATTTACTTCAAGTTCTCGCTTCACCCTTTTCCTCTTAAAAGAAGCAGATGCTTTGGGCTTTGGAATGTCAAAAGAAACACTGGATTCACGTTTGACTTCTCGTACAACTGAAAAAGGCATGAAGCTTGTACTTTATTGACAGAAGAAAAACTATACCAAAATTGTTGGGGAAAAAAGTCAGGCATATGTACTGATCTACAGATATTCAGAGATAGATTTTTCTTGATGAGTAGGAAGATTAGGTTAACACTTGAAGTTGGAACAAAACTCTAAAAGTTAACTTAGGAGTATTAATCCTACCCGTCTTGTTCAATCCGCATAAACAAAAGAAATGGTAAAGAAGGAATATTTTTTTCTCATCAAACTAAATCCATGAATCTTGACCTTGCATACAGCAGATAATCAACATTAAGCTAATGGGGGCAACATGAGCAAGGCATTCACCACTTGACACGTTCACAACATGCCAACATTGATATGCATATTACTTCACCAAAAGCAAAATCTAATTTCCAATTGACAATTAAAGAAAAGACTATACGTGAAATAAACTTACAGAAAAGGAATCGAATTTTTTTGCCCTTGTATCACTTAGACAAGCAGCCTAAACTCACGAGAAGAAGAAATCCAGGTAGCACACTGATTTCACCCATCTTGTGAAAGGAATCACGCAACTCCA